GTTCATGCATAATAAAGTGCAGTGGCTTAATGACACACATTTTCTCAGGTCGCATGGATGGACATGCTTTCATACCCTTAGTCTGTTTCTGGGCCTCTTTGCCTCTACTCTGCTCCATCTATGCTCTGCAGTCTTGTGAACATGACACTCACTGACGATCCCCGTCCAAGCAATTCATGTTATGTCCAGTTTGCAGTTGCATAAGATGCGTTCTTTTCTCAAATGCCATAACTATTTCTGAGCTTAAAAATCACCTGCTCAATATTTAACCTGTCATGTTCACTATTTACAAAAAATACTTACAATTACAATTAGTGTATTATTCCTTTTAACTCTTGGAGTGAAGCCAGTTTAGTCAGACATCGGGGGTTAAAGTGTTTGACATCTGAAAGGAAGCTTCAGAACTGTAGGCTGAAAAGATCTAAACTTTCTTTTACCTTAACTGTTTTTGTTTCTTCCCCAGTGACTTCCTGATTCTGCCAGGCTACATTGACTTCACTGCTGATCAAGTGGTGAGTTGAGTCCACAGACGAATAATTGCCAACATGCAAAATCTAGTTAAAGCCGATGTTGTAGTATTATACTAATCCAAGCTGGATAATGTTCAGGGTGGGAGCATATTAGGTGAGAGTGAGGATTATGAGCTGTGTGCCTCCCATCTCTAATGTTATCTCACAGTGCTCCCATAAATTGCACAGTTTGTTTTCACTTTAAAGAGACCTGGTAACTTTTTCTAAATGCTGTCACTCTGACATTCAGGGGATACCAACTAACTACAAAACTGGCAAACCGAGGTGGGGGCACACCTATCTAATGTTTACTAACTTGAGCCTTCATGAGCTGCTGGTCATACCAGACCAAGTAAGGTTGTAGCAGAGAAACTCCTGTGTTTATTGCTCTTGAATGTTGTGCTCTGAGAAATGTCACCAAAGGCTGCACAGCATAAACCCATACAGCACCGTGGCTCACAAGGTTAAAGGCGTCTGGGGGGGCAGGAAATCTGATAGTGTGTTTGATTGAAATGACCATTTTTCTAAGGTCAATAGATTAATCTGAAGGTCTAGAGCTACATAAAATGACAGGCAACATTTTGATTCATTTTATTATGAACTTTTTATGTAGAGTACAATAACAGGTTATAACTGTTTTAATACAAAACAATTAGAATACATGTGCAGCATTCCTGAATACATTTTTCTTTTTTAAGCAAAAACTCGTGATCTAAAGCTTTTAATTTGCTCTTTATTATTAAACAGTTAAACTAATTTTACCAAACAATACAATGAATGTTACAGATGTACTATAGCCACATAAAAACACAATTATTCTCAAAATTAGGTGAAGTATATTAAAATGGGTTTCAACAGTGCAAAAACCAAAAGCATGCACTTTGCACTTGTTTATACTGTACTACACACTCCAGTATGTTGAAAAAGAACAAAGGAGAAAAATGAATACATAGAAAACACAATTCTAGTCCCAAAGTAAATACTGGCTAGAGACTGAGCTACCTTGGTGGAGGTTTGCGCTCTTGGAGTCTGTCTTGTTCATCTTAGACTTAGTTCATGCAACATCATAACCACATTTGTATCAGAGCTGCAGTTTCCTTTTGTTATTGACATAGAAAGCAACAGTCTGACCAAATATATGTGTAACTTGGTTAATATGCATCCTTTTTACAATGCACATTTAAACAGTAGCTCTGAACTATTTTCTTTTCTTTTTTTCTTTTTTCAGCTAGTTTTGGTGTGTTCATGTTTGGACTGGACTGTTGTAACGAAGGAATTTCTTCTATGGTGATTTTAGGTGGCTCAGCATGTTGAGATATGCTGTATAAGCATTCCTTATGTTCTTTTAGTTTTAGGGTGACTGATGCATTGCTCTTGCATTTCACTGAGTAAGCATTTACTAGGACTGTTAGAGTTTGGAGGCCTAAGGTCAACATGACCCCACAAAACAGGTTTTTGGGCATAATTCAAGAGTTTTGCACAAATGTCTATTAAAATAGAAGTAAGTAAGGGACAATGTATTTCAAAAAGGATAAAAGTCACTTGCATCTCTCATGTGGCTTTTAATTGAAACTGAGCATTTAGTCCATTTTGTCAAAAATAGCTTGTATCAGAAGATTAAAAAAAATATTGTCTGTCACCATGAGAACATGTTAAATTTACTCCACAGTCACTCGGATTAAAAACAGTATGTTGTGTCCTCCTGACATATACTATTGAAGCATAGCTGTAAGTAGAAGTACTTCTCTAAGCTGGAAAACAGTCAGATGGCGGTAAAACACCTCAGACAACATGATTGTCCTGTAAGTTGAAAGAAATGTCAGTGCCATTCATAAATCTGTTTAGTTGCCTTTCTTCGCTTCAAATATTTAACTATCTAAACACACACAGAGCATGACATGACATGTTTTGTGCTGGTATGTTGTAACAAACTGATACATAGTTTCAAGTGTTTCAATGTCCAAAGGAATGTGATGTTGTAATGCCACAGCCATTCAACTGAAACTGGTTAAATATTTCCACCTCTGCTTACCCCACTGTGTGAGGCTTGAAAGGTTAAACTGAGTGTTTCTGTGTATGTAGGACCTGACATCAGCGCTCACCAAACAAATCACCATGAAGACTCCCTTCGTTTCCTCTCCTATGGACACTGTCACTGAAGCCAACATGGCCATCGCTATGGCAGTGAGTATAACAACCAAAGGCATTTATTGTTCTGCTATCACATCTGGCCATCCTCAGGCACACACACACGTGTTATCTCTTCTTGCAGCTAACAGGCGGTATAGGCTTCATTCACCACAACTGCACTCCAGAGTTCCAGGCTAATGAAGTTCGCAAAGTCAAGGTAGTGATTCTGTGTTCAGTCTGTCTCTCGTCTTTTTTATGCATGTTTATTTTCATCTTTCTTAACTCATGTGTCTTTTTTTGTGTGCATGTGTAGAGCAGTGTATTTGTCTGCTTCCCAGCTTATATAGTATAGGCAGTGATTCCTTTATGTTCCCTTCACCGCTCCTTTTTTTTGCTCCCTCTTTATTTTTCCACATCCCCATCCTGGTTTTTTCCCCTCCTCATTTCCTTCCTTCCCTTCCTTCTCCAGCGATACGAGCAGGGCTTCATCACAGATCCTGTGGTGATGAGCCCCAACGAGCGAGTAAGGGATGTCTTCCAGGCCAAGGCACGCCATGGGTTCTGTGGCATCCCTGTCACAGATAACGGCAAAATGGGCGGCAAGTTGGTGGGCATCATCTCATCCAGAGACATCGATTTTCTGAAGGTGGAGGACCACGACCTTCCACTGAGTGAGGTGGGCATGCAAAAAATTGGTTTGATCTTGAAATTTTACATCTCAAAATGCTCTAGAGACACTTTCTTAGAAACCTTTGTAATATTTTTCTCATAGGTGATGACAAAGCGAGAGGATCTGGTGGTTGCCCCCGCTGGGGTGACTCTGAAAGAAGCCAATGAAATCCTCCAGAGGAGTAAGAAAGGTGTGTAGGTTGTTTCGTGTAAGACCTGATAATATGATGATTAAGTTGAGCCAGTTGATCAGATTTTGTCCTTGATCATAATTTTGGCTTTCCACAATTGCGGGAACATGATTGACTGTTAATGTGAATGTGTGCCCTGCCCGTTGAACACAAAGCAGTCCCTAAATCACTTTCTGACAGTGTGCCAGCACATATCAGTCACCGCTGTTTCCTGCATGCCGCAGCTTGAAGTTTCCTGGATGTACTCTGAATGAGTGACACTACAAAGATAGATAAACAACAGATATCAAACAGTCAAAACAAATAGCAAAAGTCTGGCACAGCAAAAGGCAAAGAGGTTGTTATTCCAAACAGATCTTCATCCATTGTTTGGAAATACTTTGGATTTAGTGCGATCTGCAAAGCAACAAACTAACTTCTTCAACCACCTGAAAACACTTCACTAACTGTTAGGGCTGGGCAATGTCATACTCTTCATGGTAATGCCGGTGTAATGTTGGGCAATGATAAGAAAATGAAATATCGCAATAGAATATGGGTAAAACGCGCATGCGCAGTGCCTTTGATTCCATATGCACACGGTGGAGAAAGCATGGCAGTGACGGAGAATGAGAAGGGCGAAAGCGGATTGTTGAATGAAACAGATGAACCAGAATTGGTTTGTAAAAATGCTGCAACTTCAGTGGTGTGGAACTGGTTTAGCTTTCATCCGTCAGATACACAACAAAGCACTATTTTTGGTAGAGCATGCTAGCGGGCCGTCGTTATTACCGTGGGTTTTTTTGTTTGTTTGTTTTTGTTTTGTTTTGTTTTTTTAAATACGGCACACTTAAAACCAATTCTTTGATTTTTGATTTTTTTTTTATTTGATTTTTTTTTTTTGCAAAAGTTGTGGAGTTGTAAAGTATTTTGTCTAGTGTCAATTATATCGTCAGTTATATCGTTATTGCAAATTTTCACATGTATATGGTGATAAATAATTTTGGTCATATCGCCCTGCTCTACTAACTGTGGTAAAATGACTTCATGAAGGCAGAGGGGGGAAAAATGCAATGTCTAAGCTAACACTGGATGATTCACGTTATCCACTGTCAGTGCAGACATCCATAAAAGGTGAACCTGAGGAGTCCATCAGCACATCTATCCGGGTTACAAAGACACACTGAAATCACCAATACAACTGCATCGTCTAGTCAGTGTAGGGGACAAAAGATGTCTTATCCCCTCATGCAATTATTTTCTCAATGTGGGATAGACTTGCACTGTAAACAAACTGTGGAAGGGGGAACAAATGGGATCTCACAGCCACTGTGTTCTGCTAGAGCTCCACCGATATATCAGCTGGCTGATAGATGAAATCGTAAAAACTAAAAAACAACTTTCCGCCATGTTAATGTTAATGTTGCACTGTTTGTCCACCAGAGGGCACTTTGTAACGTCCCTGTTGGGGGCACCTAAGAACAAGCTGATCTAAGCAGAATTTTGCAGTGTAAATGAGTAACCCATGACTTGTAGTGACAGTAAAACAAGACCATTGTTAAACTGCTTTGTCATTATTTTCTCAGTAAGGATAAACTATGATCATAACTACACATAATAATTGTTATGGGAATCAGTTTCATGTGTCTGAAAGGGGAAAAACAAAATCAGCCAATGTTGGATTTTTAAACCGCCACATATAGAGTAGAAATATTGTTATTGTTCTTAAAAATCTTGTATCTGTTGGGCTCTCTGCTAAATTTTATTCACATATGTCATGCTGGTACAGTGAATATAATGAGATTATTTTGCTTTGTGGAGATGTCTTTAGGTGAGATGGATAAAGATCTTATTGTTTTGCAAAGATTTTTAATAGGAATATAATGCAGTGTAAAAGTGACAGCAGTATTCTGTTTTTTGTGTAAAGTTTTTAAAATGATTTATTTTTCTTCCAAGAGATGCCATGACTTTAGTTGATGAGGATCAGTTTTATTTTTCTGTAATGATTTGTACATTAGCTGGAATGTAGCACAACACTGTTGTGTTGATGTTAAAGCAGTGCTCTGTTTACATTACAGTGCAATAAAAGTTTTTGGCACAAATCTGTGAATAATCGTGATCATAATTTTGGCTATTATCACGAAGCCCTATGATGGGGAAAAATGTACCAAGGAACAGGGTAAGCTGCTTCTTAGTGCACAGCATGAGCATGTTTTCATGCCTTTGGTTCCTCCTGCAGGTAAATTGCCCATAGTGAATGAAGAGGGGTCCCTGGTGTCCATCATCGCTCGCACAGACTTGAAGAAGAACAGAGACTTCCCCTTAGCTTCCAAAGATTCTCGGAAACAGCTGCTGTGTGGTGCAGCCATCGGCACACACGATGACGACAAGTACCGACTGGACCTGTTGGTGCAGAGCGGAGTGGATGCGGTTGTACTAGTAAGGACTTCTAATGTGCTTTTTAAAGGCGTGGAATGTTTCTGGTGCAAAGTTTGGGGGTAAATTAAGTCGTGTTGAAACTGGGGACGGGGCTTAAACTGGGACCAATTTTTGGTTTTGTTATGCAGGTAAGAGAGCTGCCTTGCTCCACTGACAAATATTTAACTAAAAGCACTTAATGAAACAGTGTACATAACCATGGAATCAGAAAAGAAAATGCAGTCGCTTGGATGAAGGACAGAGTAGACCTGCCAATTACTGTTTAGAAAACACTGTTTTTTGTTGTTAAGGGGTTATCTTCAATCTGGGTGAGTCTTCATGTCTTTGAATGGGAAGATCATGTTATGTTTCATCTCTCTACCTCCAGGACTCATCTCAGGGCAACTCGATCTTCCAGATCAATATGATCAAATATATTAAAGAAAAGTACCCCAACCTGCAGGTCATCGGTGGCAATGGTAACTTCACTTTACACACACTAACATTTTCATATGTAAAATATTCAGAGAAGGTGTTTTCTTTAATCACTATAGAATGGATGCTGTTTTCTATGTATGCACTTGTCAGAATGGTCTATGATAAAGGCATATTGTGGAAAGGGGGAGTGACACATCCTACATTTGTTCACAGCCAGTGGGCTTGAGTGTTGAACACTCATGTCTTTGATCGATGCTCATTGATCTGTTGCTTATGGTGAAAATTGCTGTGTTTTTTTTTTTTTTTTTCTCCTCTGTGTCTCACCCGGTCTGTGGCAGTCGTGACTGCAGCTCAGGCCAAGAATCTGATTGATGCAGGCGTGGATGCACTGAGAGTGGGGATGGGCAGCGGCTCCATCTGCATCACGCAGGAAGGTGAGTGACTGAAGGCAAAACTGTACAGACAACAGGCACATCAATTCCTGCTTCCTTTTATAAAACGGCTCTCAACCAGTCTGAAGCCTTTGATCTGTATGGTGTAGCAGCTTCTGCTACAAAATGGCAGCAGTAAAGTTCTTCTGCAGCAAAAAACAATACTTAAAGTCTGCTTTGCTTGATGAATCCTAAAGCATGGACCAAACCAAGAATGGAAACCTAAACTTTCACCCTGTGTAGTATATCGTATTGAAGGACAATTAATTCTGTATTTTTGTGTACTTTATGAGATTCCTGATGGAAACGTGAGCATTTCCAGTTGCTTAGTTTGTTGACATTTTGTTGCATTCAGGGGTAACTGTTGTTGACAGTTCTGTCCCTTTCTACTATCTGATGTCTGATCATCTTTGTACATCATAGGCTGTGAAACATTTATGCTGCAGCCTCATTTTATTATAGAAAATAATGATCAATTATTATGGTTTCTGCATTGATTACTCAAATTGGGCATAAAGCTGCAGTGCTAGTGGACTTTAAGTCATCCTTTGTGAACTTGTCCTCTAAGTTAGACAATGTGGTACATGATTATGGTTTTAAACTAATGTTCATTGAGATGTTTTATTTACACTCGGACATCTATTTAGTACTTAAGTTATGGTTCTGTGGAGCTGCTATTACTGTGTAGCAGGAGTTTGGGTTAGGAAATTGAAGTTGTTGGTGGATATACTGCGGTCACTTTTTTGGGGGAATGGGGCCTAGTGGGTGGGGGTGAGAGGTACTCCTCAGTTTTTGTTTTGCTTTTTGTGTTTGTTTTATTTTTCATTTATTTCTTTAATCATGATACTAAATGTAGCCTGCTTTTCATACACTCCTTTTTTATTGATTTGGTGAAGAGTATCAGCATCACCCCATTAGCATCAGGTTTGTACTAATACTGAGATTCTTTTACTTAAAACTTGGTACACGTCAGGCTTTCCCACTCTCACCTTTACTTTTCGCTTTAGCAGTAGAGCCTCTCTCAGCCACCTCTCAGAACTTCTTTGTTCCAAGGGGTGACTTGTAGTGGCATAGTGCACAGGATTGTTATATATGCAGATGATTTATTA